CTACAATATAAGGTGACTTTAAAATCGATTAAATATTTGAAATCACTAAATTGTCATTGTTTTTCAGGGGGAGGGGGGAGGGCCGGGCGAGGCGCTGTAATCGATTTCCTGTCTCTCACTGAAAAGGTCCAAAAAATTATGATCACGTCCCACCCAGAAAAAATCCTGGGTATACTCCTGTGTGCTTTTTTAGCTTAGCGCAGACAGTGTAACGTAGGCCACATGCTTTTTATGAGTAAATTGAATCGTTTGAATATTTAGTTAAAATAGAATTTAATACGTAGATTATGGTAGTGATGTTTAAATTATTTTGCCTACACTCACACACATCAAACCGTTAATGATGAACGGTGAGTATTTATTTATGATGTCGGAATGAAGCTAATAACACGCCTTGTACGGATCAATTTCAAGAACACGATGCTATAAACATTAACGAAAAATATACCAATCAAAATGTCAGTATGTAAAGTAGACAATGTATCAAAATACATGGTTGACTTACTACAGCAGTCACGCAAACCATATAATAACATCAGCATCGTGTATGGTCGCATGTTTCAAACACAGATGACGTCTTCATTATTATCTAAGCGGTGGTGTAAGCTACAATGTGGGCTGTCGTGACAAAATGCGTCTTTTGGTATGCCATTATTCAAGAAAATCTGAAGTGACATTTTGAAAAAAATGGGTTTTAATTGTTCTGATAAGTTTAATATGTATATTTATATATATATTAATTAATGAGTTAGATAAATATTGTATGAAATTTGGAGTTAATGTTAATTTGAAGAAATCTAAGATAATTGTGTTTAGAAACGTGGGAATTCTCAGATCATATGAAAGATGGACATACCGAGGTAATTTAATTGGAGTCGTTCCATATTTTAAATATTTAGGTATTGTTTTTTCATCTCGTGGTATTTGGTCTATGGCACAAAAAACTCTGGCTGAACAAGCGTCGAAATCTATGTATGCAATTATGGCAAATACAAAGTCTATGGGTAATTTACCAATTAACATTTACTTTAAAAATTTTGACATTAAACTAAAATCAATTCTAGACTATGGGAGTGAGGTCTGGGGCTACATAATGGGCGAAGATATTGAAAAAATCCATGTTAAATTTTGTAAATTTGTATTAGGACAAAAAAGAAATTCAGAGAGTGCAGCGATTAGAGGTGAACTGGGCCGACATACAATTAGATTTAAAAGATTGACAAGAATCATTAAATATTGGTTGAGAATTATTACATTGGATAGAGAGAGGCTGGTATATAATGCATATGTCGAACAGTTAAGATTTATAGATAATGACAGTGATTGTTGGGCAAGTTGCATTAGGTCTCTTCTGTTTCATTGTGGATATGGGGAAGTCTGGATGAACCAAGGGGTGGGTGATGAAACGGCTTTCATTTATAATTTTAACAAACGATGCCAAGACATAGATGACAAAATTGGTTTAACAGTATAAATAATTCAAATAAATTGAAACAATATGTTAAATTCAAGTGTACTTTTGGAATTGAAGCTTATCTCTCAATGAATATAAAACCGTATTTTAAACTGTTAATGACATCTTTTCGTATATCAAATCATAACCTTGAAATTGAAAAGGGGCGTAAAATCAATGTTAATTATAAAAATAGACTTTGTATTTGCCAAGATGGTAGTATCGAAGATGAGATTCATTTTCTTTTGTTTTGCAAGTTATATACTGATTTAAGAAAAGAATATCTCCCATCATATTATATTAATTTTCCAACAAATGAAAAATTTTATCAAATTATGTCATCAAAAAACAGTAATATAATTAGAAAAGTATGTTTATTTATTTATCATGCATTTAAGAGAAAGGAAAACAAAGAAACACGGGTGTATTAATGAAATTTATTTAAAGTACGGTATTGTCACAGCACGCTTATTTAATTTGTAATAATTTTGTTTTACAAGGGGCCGGAGGCCTGGAGTTTGATGAATAAATTCCCTGTATGGGGAGCATGAATAATATGTATATTTAATAGTAGCAACAGTTCTGAGTTGACTCATCTAAAGTAATCATGTTTTTGAGGCACATTTTTGTAAAGCTATTTTTTCTAAACTGATACAAAAACACACAAAATTTATCATTTTAAGAGGCAAATTTATCTTAAGTACCGTACGGTATGTTTTTAGACATTTAAACTTTAAAATGATCTTACTCCGGAACATGATTTAAAATAAATTTCACATTCATCTATCTTTATATCAATAATTCACTTTTCATTTTTTTGTACCACAAGACTCAATTTGTCACGACCGCCCAAGTTGTTTATCTTTCTAATGTATAATTTCATCATAAACTATAATCACGTGTATGTCATTGTATTTTTCATTTTGACAGATGGTGGGAATTAAAGAGATTTGAATTAAATTATAGACTAGGCACAATTGACCTTGAGGTTGTTAATCATTTTCCTTATAAACATTAATATTGTTATGTTGTTTTGTTTCTGCAAACAAATAATTATGGTCTGACGTTTAACGATTGAAATACCATCTTCGAAGTGATGACGACCGTCATTTCAATCAGACTAATCCATTTTAACTGAGACTATTTATTTTTTAACTTTTGATGTTATATCTGAATACACAGCAATAGCCGAAGAATCTATAGATGCAGGATTTTAAAGTACGTTCAGTATTCCTTGTGTAATCATAAACAATATATATCATCATGGGAGGAAATTGCACCACGCTCTTTCCAAATGGGTTATTGAGCTATTTCTTTCTGTTGGAGACAAGTCACTTATGTAAGTTTCTTTATTAATTTAGCAATATTTCTTTGGGTCTCAGTTTACATATATTTTGTCAGGTATTCACTCTGTCTAACCAAGGAGGTATTATATATAGGCCTACCACCATGGTCTAACTTGGTCCTTCCACTTAGAAAAGGGGCGTATACTTTCAGTGCCACCAGTAGGCTACAAATATATTTTGTAAAGATACTAACTCGTATGTGAGAAAGCAGTTTGAAATTCACCTTCAAAACAGACATCTTCCGATTCTACCTCAGAGACAAAACGCCAGAAAAAAAAATTGGAAGTATGGGTGTACTATCATACTGATTACGTACAATAAGCATGTTTGAATGTGATTGGACTGAAGAGAAGTCGACTGCTGTAAAACATCTTAAATTATTAAAGGCAAACATATCGTAACATTAAATATAATATGTCGTACTTTACGAGCATACGGGCATGGTAACTTTATCATGTTTGAAGATATGCAGAAACGAGTTTCACAACAAGTTGTATCAACCTCGAACTTGTTTTTGGAATTCATTAAAATATATTTGCAAATTACTTGTTCTGTCATTTGGTCAACTTATCTGTCCTCTTAGACCAAAGTACATGTACTATGCCTATATATAGGGTACCGGTATATAATAATAGTATCATATTATACTTTACTTTTTATCATAGTTATTGTAATAGCCAACTTATATTTTGTTTGTCACGTACATGCTGAACAAGACCCGACGGGTTGAAATATTCATGTTTTGAATAAAATTTGTGTTCAAAGTCTAACAAGTCGTTGACATCTCATCGTCTTTTTCATTGAGTTATGTATTTAAGGAACACACGTGGATTACATCATGCTCTCTCTCTCTCTCTCTCTCTCTCTCTCTCTCTCTCTATAT